CATGTTATTGCAAATGCCCACCTTCTAACACTTTTAAGTCTCCTTTTTGAAGTAGATTAAATAACTAACCAAATAAAGAAAAGAAAAGATATCTAGATGGTTTTTAATTGCCACATCCTTTCCTTCCTAGCAGGTCCTATGACCAGTCCCACCCTACGACTTGGTGGTCATTCTCGGTCCTGTGAGCAGAGAAAGCAGATCTGATGAGTCGGAGGCCGCACGCGCGCCTCCCCGCGGCCCCTGGGTGTCATGGCAGAGGTCACTGACACTGGTTTGTTTTTAACCAGCAATGCCAGTGACCTTTCACATTCCCTGAAGAACAAAAGGCCAGATTAGACCTCAAAGAAAACACCTCTCAGTGTTGACTGAGCAGCAGTTGAAGAAGGATCTGACAAAATGCTAATCCAATTTTTAGATTGGTTTGGCTGATAATATTTATGTCTGACTTTGAGAAAATGCTACATATTCCTCCTCCCTTTCCCTCCATAGGAGAAACCTATAGATTTCTATAGGAGAAATCAGGTGTTAGAGGAGAAAAAACGATTTAGGCAGAGAGATCTTTTTCCTGCTTCTATCTCTTATTAGTTTTTTTCTGGAGACACCGCAGAGGGCTGCATAAGTCAGAGGCCCTGCAGCTGTCAGATGAAGTCATCAGACCAATCAGAAGCAAGTCTATGAGTGGCAGGTTTAGAGCCATTTGTAAAGCCATGTGTGTGTGTGTCTTGTCTGTTTCAGGATCAAGAAGAATGAGTAAGGAGGAGGAGGGAGGGGGCACACCCAGGGGGAAGCCTGTTGCCTGTAGTGACTAAGCTCCAAGCCTTGGTACCCCAGGGGCCCGCGCCGCAGGCCTGGAGCGGTGCACAGTGCAGTGGGGAGTGCATGTGCAATACTCGGAAAGAACCCCAGTGGCAGCCCCTGCCAATCTACTAGGAAACTGCCCTCCACCAAGAGCACCTCACGCAGTAACTGGAAGGGGAAACAACTTGTGTTCTGAGGAACAGTAGTCATCTCAAAGCGACATGATTAGTGATACCTGGAAAATTCACATGGCATTCACTAAGACTGGGTTCTTGGGATACTTCAATCGGATTCGAGATGGGTTAGACCCACTCACCCCTGGGTGCAGAGAGCAGTAGGGGCTGAGGCAGGGCGGCCCTGGGTTCCCTTTGTTGATAAAGAACATGCTCAGCCGTGGGCCGGGAGCTGCGCACGCAGTGGGGTTACGGGAGAGTTCCCCGGCAGTCTTTCAGCCTCCCCATTGCCTCCCCACCTGTCTCTACTGCCAGACCCCCGCCCAGGCCCCCTCCGTCTCTACCGGGCTTTCCCCTGCTGCCCAATGAGTCTTACCGTGTCTGCCCTTGCCTCTGCCATCCATTCTCTGCGTGGCAGCCAGAGCAGTCTTTGAGAAATGGAAACCACATCGTGTCATCTCCTGCTTCAGGTATTCCAGGGGCCTCCTGTCGCTCTTAGAATTACTGACAAGGATCCCCACGGCCTGGCGCCTGTGCTCTGGCCTCTCTCGCCCACACTCGATATACTACAGCCTCACAGACCTTCTTTATATTCTCAACTAGGGTTGGCAAATTATGACCTGCCAGTAAAATCCAGCCCAATGCCTGTTTTTGTAAATAACATTTTATCGGAACATAGCCACCCACACCTTTGTGTTTACATATTATCTGTGGCACCTCTACGGCAGAATTGAGTGAAGATACATACACACTGATGACCTTGCTCTTTAAGGAAAATGTGCAGACCACAGTTCTGAAACCCCACAAGCTTTTCCCCACCTCGGGGCCTTTGCACTTGCATTACCCCCCGCCTGGCTGGCTCCTTGGGATCGTTTAGGTGTTAGCTTTTGGAGCTCTCCGCACCTATCCATATTCCATCCCAGTTTATTTCTCTCCCTTCATCATTACCTAGAATTACATGCTTGTTTAGTGATGGGTTGCCCCTGTCTGAGAGCAGAATCTTGTCTGCCTGATCTATATCGTGTGTGAGGACCTAACACAGTACCTGGCACCTGGTGGGTGCTTAATAAACATTCATCAAATGAGTAAGTGCATTCAGCCACACAGAGGTCTGTGTCCTTTGCAGCTGTGCTGCTTCCCCTTGGGACAGCCAGCCATTAGACATGTCAGTCACACACTCGCTCCTTGTCCACAGTGAGCAAAGGAGGGGAGAGCACATGAGCTGTGTGTGCAGGGGAACGTGGAATATATGTATATATATATATGGATCAAGCTGAGAGAAAGTGGGTGGCAGGAAGCACACGCATGTCAGCAGCAGCTTATACTTTCATATGCTTGCTGGGCTGGAGAGCTGCCAGCGAAGCTCGCTGCAACACTCTCTGTGTTTATATAGCACGTTGGACACTGGTGCAATTCAACAGGTTGGACATTGGCACAGTTCAGCCCAGCAAGTACTTATGAGCATCTTTGATGTCCAGAGCGCTGAGCTGGGCAGAAGCAGCAGTGGCTAAGACCACAGACTCTGCGCCCAGAGCTCCTGGTTTCAGATCCACCTCCATCATCTAGCAGCTGTGTCGCTTGGGGCAAGATGCTTAACCTCTCTGAGCCCCAGTGTCTTGTTGATAACATGATGACATAATAGCTGAAGCAACTCCGCAGTCATTCTGAAGATGAAAGGAGGCGATGCAGGCAAAGCTCTGAGCCGAAGGCCTGCCGCTCAGTCTGTGCTCCACGTGCGCCCCGTCACCCTTAGCCTCGGGGATCACGCTGTCTGTGAATGAGGCATAATGTAGCGGAAAAGGGCTCGGTCTCTGGAGTCAAACAAGCTGCGTTCAAGTTCTGGTTCTGCCGTTGTGATCCTGCACGAATCAGCTTACCTCTCTGGGCCTTGATTTTATCATCTGTAAAGTAGGGATAATAATAGTACGAGCTGGGATCTTTAGGATTCAATGATTCAATAAATATCTAAAGCTCCGAGCCCCCGGCTACTTCCCAGTCTCCATTCTAGGTGTTCGCTTCCGTCATTGTGATTCACCAGGCAGAGGGAGTCACCGAAGAATGCTGAGCGATATAAAACAAACTGAAATGCCCTAAAAAGCTAGCGAGGGAAGCAAAGCTTAACACATACCAGCAGCAGCAGCACGGGGACCCACGAGTGAGCTGTGGAATGTCCTCTGAGCATTCCAGGCGTCCGGAGGAGGGAGGGGGCCGGTAACGGGACCCCATGCTGGCATTTCTGGAGGAGCTGAGCCTCAGCTAAGCCTTGATGCGTGAGGAAAGGGAGGGGAGGGCAGCAGCAGGAGAGATGGGGGTCCTGGCACTGCCTCCTCCCTCCATCAGTTAATGAGAAGTTGCATTTCAGTTCTTATTACCACCCTCAGTACAGAGGCATTTCAGCACAGAAAAGCCAAAACCCGTAGCTTTCTTTGAATGAGTTAAAACACAGGTCCTTGGGCCGCATTCCTAGGGATTCCTCTTTAGTTGAAGTGCTGAGGGTCCAGGAATCCGCAGTTTTAATGAGCACCCAGTGATTCCGACGCCCGTGCTCGGGTACAGCGCCCTAATAACGCCTGACTTGAATACTCCAGTGAGTCCACAGTCCTACCTAAAGGCTGCATTGTCCCCTGTGACATATCGCTTGTTCTCCAGTTTGCAGAGCCTCCCTTGTCCCCTCTGATTCTTGCCTTACTCTGAAAATGTCATTTCTGATGTTTCCGCCTCAGCCCCTGAGCTATGTTTGAACAGCTGGCCCGGAAGGGAGAATGTCTGACAGGGACAGACCCTGCTGCAGAGCGGGGGCGGGGAGTCTTTCTTGTTCATTTTGGTTGGTCGGTCGGTCGGTCGGTCGGCTGGTTGGTTATTCTTTCTACGTCTTTATCTCAGAGAATGAGCTCAGTTTGATTCTAGTCCTGCACATGAGACGTCTCCCAGAGCTTAGGTGCGTGTTCAGACTGGGCCTTTACCAAGGTTTTGCCAGGAGAGAGCCTTGCTGACGAGCCCAGTGACCGGTCATATGACACGGGGTCCCCTCCTGGCCGAGCCAGCTGAGCATTTACTGAGCTCGGCTCTGTGCTGAGGGCTTTCGCCATCACGGCTCCTTGAAGCCTCACAAGAACCCACTTCACAGCAGAGAGTCTGACTGCCACCACTTCACAGGTGCAGAAACCGAAGTCGTCTTGATGCCGGGCTGACGGGCAGAGGGCAGGGGTATTTTAGGGGTGGGATGGGAGGGCCTGGGCACTGGAGAGGCCAGGTTGCTTTTAAGTTGTGTTGAAACTTAACACACTCCTCTTGTGTGGGTGTCACGAACCCAGAGGACCCTTACCACCTGTGGGTTATTCCTGAATGCTCATGATAAGAAATCATGCGGGCATTTTGGAGGCCGATTAATAGATGTTTGCCCTCATCTTTTCCTGGAGGAGCGCGATTAGACAAGGCTGCACTGATCTTCCGTGCCTAAGCCTCCCTGTGGGTCCCCTGCTGCTTCCCCGCTCGCCTCCTTTGCTCTCTGTCCTCGCTTGTCCCGTACAGACTGAAACTAGCGTTATACAGTAGCATTGGGGGTGGCATGCTTTTTTAAAACAAGCTCAGGAAGTCACTTAATTAGCCTAGGAAGGGAGTAGGGGTAAATTCATTCTCTCCAAACAGTCTCAGAAAATGGGAGCTTTCCTGATACGTCCAGAGTGAAGGCTCTGCCTTGCCCACAGCGGTCTGGGTATTCCCAGTTGGCAAGCGCAGACCCTGCCGGTCTCCAAGTCCCATGATCCCTTCCTCTTCCTTCCTGCTATTGACTATTTTGCAGACTCAGCTGGATTTTATATAATATTTACAATATCACAGTAGTTGCCATGGAGGTGGACTGTGATGTCACAGAAACTAGTATATATTCTTTGGATATTGAAAAATCAAAAGGGAAGAAAATTCTAAATTTGCAATAGAGAGGGAGAAGACAGATTTCAGGCTTACATATAGAAGGGAAGAAAATTCTAGAGAACAGGAAACACTAAAAGACTATGGGGTGGACAGACGGATATTAAAAGGCTACAAAATGTGAAAAAAAATTGGAGGGAATTTGCAAGAAAGTAGAAACAGAGGCTAAGGACTGAAGGAAAGCAAAAGGCATGATTTGGAACTAGCTGTCTGTAAAGACTAGTTCATAACAGTCCTCCACTGACCCTCCCCCGGTGCACAGTCAGTACACTGGGAGGGCGGGCGGATGGATGACGGACAGATAAATTTACAAATGGAGCACCGTAACTGTGACCACCAGCCCAAGAAATAGAAATCTGTCACTTAGTTTAAACCAGGAACTTCAGAAAGTCCATGAAACTAAAACTTTGAACGTCTGTGTCTGTTTCCCTTTTTGTTATGAAGAACATTCCAAATAACCTTCATCAGAGGGCTTATATCACACAAGAGGTTAGGAACCTCTGGTTTAAACAAATCCTAGAATGATGTAACATAACCAGTAGTTGCCAGTGCGCATGCGGGCACACACACATGCACGTGCCCGCGCACACACACACATGCACGTGCCCGCGCACACGCGCACGCACACACACGAGCACCACCCCATTCCACCCCCCTCCGCCTCCTGCCCTGTCTGCAATGTCATCCCTTCATGCTGTCTCTCCCCTTCCTGTGCAGTTCATCCATCTCAGGAGCCTGGCTGGTTGGAGGGGACTCTGAATGGAAAGACCGGCCTCATCCCTGAGAACTACGTGGAGTTCCTCTAACCGTGGGCCGCTGCGGAACTGCTGAGCTTTCTCTGGTGTCCATGACAGCTGCTGATCCCAGGGCTGTAGGCCAGTTCTCTTTGCCGCTGAGAAATGCAAGTGACCGACCCTGCTGCTCTCTGTCCACGTGAATGTTTCTGTGAACTCCGGCGCCACTCACCCCCTGATCATCTCAGCTGACTCGCAGTGATACTGCAGGAAGCAGAAGTAAATCAGCTGGAGGCCATTCGATGCTGATAAGCGAGAGAAAGGCTCGCAAAGCCAGGTGGTTCTCTCATTTAGCGCCTGATCAGGGGACGCTCACGTTGCTTCAGTAGTCTCCCAAGCCCCAGCCTTCTGGAGAAGGAAGTAGGTAAGATGTAAGTAGTCCCTGAGAGCTTGTGGGGTGGCTGAGTGTGACAGAGCTGGGCAGTGCCTCTGAAGTCCAGGCTGGCTCCACTGCTTCTGTTTACAGCGGGCACTCTCTCTACCCCACCTCTAAGTGCTTGAGACGCCGTGGCCAGGCCGCTGGGTCTGTTTGTTTGCATGCAGGATGTGGGGGTTACGGCGCTGTTTACGTATGATCCAATCTCTCACCATCTCTAAAGCAGCCGTTGGCCCAGCATCAGCAGAATTCAGTCCAGTCCTCATGCAAGGGGACACACGCACCCCGTGCTCCCTGCCTCCCACACTAGGAACTTCTCTGCCACCAAGGGCTGCCATCGCCTCGTAACCACGGCAACCTAGCCCGCTCTCAAACCAAACCAAAAGATAACACTCTCTGCATGACGTCCCTCCGCCCCACCCTGTGTGGTAGGTTTTCAAACCTGAAGCAGAAGATCATGGAATCAGAGTGGTCTCCTTGGGCAGACAGATTAGCAGCTGGGACCTATTCCCTTTCTGATGAATTTCAGCAACATCAGGATATATTTGGAGCAAACCCTAGTAACGTCTTGAGATTAAACAGGCTTAATAGTTCTGTTCTTCCATGCAACTACTATTTGTTTTCTAGAGGGTAGTCTGCCAGTCACCAATGGGTGATACCCTCCCTTTAATTCATTTCCTCATGGCCTCCTGTTTACCTGTCCCTTCCCTTGGCAGGGCTACTGACCACTGATGCCCTGGCATTTTTCAGGGATGATTCCTGGGCCAACCCCATGGCCTAGCAGGACATATATGTTCACTGCCACTCAGAAAAAAAGGGAATTGTTTCTCAGGCTATTGACACATGGGACTAATATCATAAGCCATTGTGATTCAGAAAGACATCAGAAGGTTGGGGCTTGGAAGGTGGAATGGGTACCTTCTGAGAAAGAGAATTTCTGGGTCTCGAAGGGGCTGGGTCTCAGGAAGGCTGCCTCGGGGCTGGGGGGGAGCTCGGCCTGAACATTCCACACCCACCTGGCCTCCAAGTAACACAGTCGCCGTTATCTTCCACATTTGAATGTCCCTGCGAGAGTGACTCTGGGCGGACACGCTCCAGACCAATGGGCTGTCAAGCCCCCAGGAGCCTCTCAGGGCGGCAACATTGCTCCGAGTGTTTCCTGCTTCTGGGATTCCAATTTAGGAAAGTTTAAAGAAGAACAGGAAAGACTTGAATTGTGTTGAATTACTGTATCTTTTTTTTATTTACATGTTTTTTTCGAAAAGATAATTTGTAAATAGAGTGATTTCAAATACTATATGGCAAAGTTTTATATTTGATATTCTTTAAGCTACTTGCTCCACACATTAAAGCTTTGATGCCGAATGAGTGTGTAAGAGGGGGAGGGAGGGGGCGAGGCCGCGAGGAACCGAGGCCGTCCCCCCCTGGCCTCCAAGGGGGAGGAGACGCCTCACACACTCTCTGCCGACTCTGGGCAGGCGTCACGTGTTGACGGCGATGAGTCTTCTTTACCCAGATGTGTTTCTGAGCATTTCTTGGCCTTTGGATTTGGAAATGGAAAGAGCATCTTCAGACAATGAGTTTTTCAAAGAGCTCCTACTTGGTAGTAAGACGAAGCTCAGGATCGGTGAGGCCAGGGGTTTGTTTTTTTTTTTCATTTTTCTTCTCAGGTGTATCTTGGGTACCCCAAGATATCGGGACAGAAGGAGATGGGATAGTGAGACCTCCTTGTAGGTAACTCTTCCGCACATCTTCTAAATGAGGTCAAGGCAGTTTGCAAAGGTTACGGTTTTGTGAGTTCCAAGAAAAACTGGCTTATTAGGATCTTCAGTTCTCAATATGCAGCTGCTTCCCCTTTCCCTAAATGTATTTATGCCCTTCCTGTTCATCTCAGATTTCCTGTAATCCCCACATAAGAGGAAAGACTCCAGAGGGATGGAGATTATGCAATTAGAGCTTCATGGCTTTAAAGCTAAGAGAGGTTTGTCATTGTGATTCAGTTCTCCTCAGCCTAAGGCTTCCACAGCTACTACCCAGGAGCTCACCCAGTGGCAGCTGAGATACTACCACTGAGCCAGGGAACCAGAACTGAGACTGGAAAAGACCAGGATAAGCCTCAGAAAATGGTCGTTGAAAACCCAAGCAGAAAGCGAATGTATGAACAGGCAACCCCTCCTCCCAGCAGACCAACAGCTTGGGGACCTGTCAGAGGGGCCTGCGGGGACAGGCATGCTGGGTACCACTGTCCTTTACCAGTGAGGAAAGAGTGTGACATAGTGCTTTTAACACACTTGCCATTTTAAATTGTCGCCTGCCCCTTGGGACTGTGACCAGAGCTAGCACGGAAGAGCAGAAGCCCAGGCGCTGGCCGCAGGGGTTCCTGGCCGACGCATACCTGTCAGTCCTTGGCCCCAGCCCGACTGCTTGGAAGCATGTTCCTCCTTCCCCAGCTGGCCCTGGTCTGAAGCCAGGGGGAAACAGAGCCACTGCCCAGGGAAATGTTTAGGTCGACCCCTTCCCAGCCTCCCTGGGGCCATGCTGGGCCTGGGACAGATGGCTGCTCTGTTTCCTTCTCCAGCCAGGCTTCCCTCCTCCCCGTTGGCTGCAGAACTGGAGAAACCCTTCAGAATGTGATCCAGCAAATAGGAAGGAATTTGAGGACTAAAAATAGACTGTATCCTCTCTACCAGCAGTGCCCCCACCCCCAACTCCCTCCGCTTGAATAGGGAGCTTTGGGTGAGGTCAGGGGAGCGAAGCAGCTGTCAGAACAGGAGACCACCACCCAAGGTCCCCGAGTTTCCTGGGAGCCTTGCGTGTCCTGTGGGAGGCCTTGGGATCAGCTTGGCACACAGAGCCTGAATCTTTTTTGGGTAATATAATCAGTGTCTCAGTCCTCCTAAAGGTCCTCAAAGAATTCCACAGCTGCAGAATGCCATGCCACGAGAAGGTGACTGGCTTCAAAGCCCTGCTCCCAAGCAAGTAAATTCCTGCCTTGTTCAAGACTGGCAATATTCTTTCTTGTTTTCAAGAGTAAACAGGGATGGACCGACCCTGTATAGCATCACCTTCTTTGGTATCCTATTCTTAGAGCCAGTTTTTAGCTTAGTGTTTTAGTATTTCTACAGCCAATATGTTTTCTTCTTCAGACCAAACTCTTTTTCAACGTAATTCCAGCTCATCTCCTCCTGCTCAGCGCTTTTTGGACAAAGAGAGAAAGAAAAATGAGCGATCAAATATTAGCAGACTGGCATTAGCAGGACAGAGCCATGCTACTGACAAGGTCATTTCAGGCCTTTGCCAGGACTCCAAGGACGGACGTGCCCTACCTGTGGCTCGAAGGGAAGTCCTTCCACAAACTGAGTCTGTGTCCCCTGAAAACAGCAACCCCGGGCACACCAAACGCGCTGTCTTAACCACAGAGCTCCAGAAGCATCCGTGGTTGAGGCTGACTGAAGGCAGAAATAACCCGCTAAAGAGAACTTGATCATCTGTTCATCACTGTCTGTTGGCACCTTTTATCCTCTGGCTTCTTATTCCAAAAGCAAGTTGGAACCACCCAGTTTCATAGGTGCAGGGCTGCCAGTGGCCTCCACGGCACTCAGCTTGCCCTAGGATTGAACGTTTAATGAGCAACCCCATTACCCACAGTGGTAGCCGCGTTGAAGAAACAACAGCCTCTTAGCTGCCTGACTTCAAAAGGAACATCCTAGGTGTTCTGTCTCGGGACCTGTCAATCATCTCTGGCAAAGTGGACAGTGATCGGTTACCTAGACAACCCTGCCCCACGTCTCACACACCCTGCGCTGCTGTTTAAAACTGGGTCTCATGCCCAAATGTGTTTGGCAGTCATGCTGATCTGCTGGGTGCTGAACCGCTTCTCTGTAATTGTAGCATCAAAATGACAACGGCAGCAGAGCAAGGAACCTTGCGCAACCCTACAGCATGCCTGAGACAAGGCTCAAACAAGTAATAATTAGCTTTTTTCCTTTCGCCGCCTACAGTACTTGTCTAACTTAAGAGCTTCCCGGAGCAGAGGGAGAGGCACACAGAGAATCCAGACATCATTCAGAGGCAGCCTTTGCTGAAATGTGGTCTTCTAATGGAAGCACTTATATTCTTGGGAGAAAATGTCTAGATCTAAAGTGATGCTAGGAGCAGAGAGAACAGTGAATCATACTGAAGAACTTCAGATTTGTTTTAAAAGGGATAAACACAGTTCTTAATAGGAGAAAAAAATCTATCACAGGGAAAGTTCACAAATGATTTTTTTACCAAAGTGTTACAGGATGCTATAAGATGGAAGCATCTTTCAAGACGGAATGCTTTAGAATGCATAGGCTTGGCACCATCCTAGATCCATGGAAGGGCAGTAATTACTACTATGTCAAAATTCTCTTCAGTGTAGTCGTTGAGATCCAGAATATTGATAATCAGAACATCAGAATTACCTGGAGCAGTCCTGGATACATCAGGACATTCTACACCATTCTACATGGGCCATTCTACAAAGTCATCTGAATGGGCACCTGTAAGCAGGCTCCTTGGGTATCCAGATGCAAAGGTCAGCCTCGTACCCTTGACAAGAGGTTCACCTGATGATTCTAAAGTATGTATGTATTAGTATCCGTGTATGTGTATGTACAGCACATATTTACGTGTGTTAAGATACAGACGCCCAGCCAGGAACCCGCATAAGCTGGCAGTTGCTCAGCCTTCACAGCCATTACGGTGCAGATGTTAAGAATTAGAGGAACGCGAGAGGCCGGCAGTTGACTATCAAAGTGATCAAAGATGTAAATTAAGTGCCATTTTAAAACTTTGTTCATATTTATCAAATGATTACTATCTACAGCTATATTCCTTATTAACTTATTAAAACTCATGTTGAAAGATCAAATTCATAAATGTTTAGTAGCTAATACTAGGCTAGTGTTCAAAAGCACTCTAAAAGACCTTTTGTCCGTATTTTGGAGAAGGAAATATGTGCATGTTTAATTCATAATCTAGGCTACCTTTGAGTATACTGTAAAGTGCTGTGTGATATAATATCAATAAAGTACTTAAAAATGGCACTTTAATGTTTTCCTTGAAACCATAAATTATGCACTGTTTTAAACTTCAGTATTGAGTATTGACTTGTGTGTAAAATCCAATTCTGTAATTAAAAAGTAATTTGTGACTAGAATAGAACTTTTTCCCTGTTATTAGTCAAACGGCTTTGCCATGTTGAGGCTTTAAAAAACAGAAATGTGCTTTTGAGTCACTAAGTGTATCTATAAAGAAAATTTCTATTGAGTGGCCTCTGAAATGGCTTTCTTACATTTGGTTGGTTTATGTGACAATCCTTATGAAATGAGTAGAAGTATGATTTTGGAATTAAATGACTTTTCCATTTGCTGGTATGTTTGTTTCTTGGTCTCTGATAAAGTTTTGACATGATGTAATTGTAGTGCTTGTGCAAATAGGCATATAAGACAATGACCAAAGGTCACAAGTCCGGGCTCCTGCAGTCTACTGGCTGCCCCTGCGGGGCTGACCTCTGGCCTGGAAGGAGCTCCGGGTTCCCCTCAGGGCGGGTCAGGTGCAGGGGACTTGAGGAGGAGGTTGCAGGCACCCTCAGCCACGAGGCCCCAGAGAGTCCTGTTCCAGTGGGCACTTCTGACCTTGTCTCCTAGAATGTGTATTGTTTCATTCTTCTCAAATTCAGTTTTCTAACCAACTACTATTTTGCGGAACTTCATTAGCACAGTCTAGAAAAATCAAAAGAGTCGGAACACAAAGTCCTGCCACACAGCTGGGCACGTCCTACAGGTTTGAAAGTCACTTGTTTTGAACGTACGTCACCCCAGGCCGCCCCCTGTTACTGCGTTCCCCTCATTCCTCAGCTCCCTTTCAGGCGTGTCTGACTGCAGCCTGGGGTCCGGCTTCACAGGCAGACGGTCTCCTGCAGTGAGAGCAAGGCCTCGGGGGAGGGCAGAGGCAGCCGGGGCTCTGGGGGTCGAAGACGAGTCTCCGGCTGCAGCAGCCTGGCCCGGGGAAGGGGCAGGGGCGTGAGGCTGCCTGGTCCTGGGGGGTGAGGGGTGGAGTGGGTATGTGGATCACGTGCAAGCTACTCACAATGTCCCTGTTTGTCACTTAGTAGACATGGGTTCACCCTTAGGAAGAGCCCACACCCACAGCGCCTGCACAGGAATTGAGTTCACACGGTGCCCTGGACCCCCCTCCCAGCATCTGGAGCCGCCACCTGGGTGCGGCCGTACGGTGCCCAGTGAGGCCTGCTGAGGGGCGCTCCTGTCTGGTATGTGGAGGAGAACTACGTGGAACATACCTGTATCTCATCTGAGCCCTTGGCCTTCCCAGCAGACTCCTGTCACTCAACTTTCCTGTCTTTATAACAGAAAAGGCTTTTGCGTTCATTTTGCTTCCAGAGGCTGCCCAGAGCCCAGCTCACGCGGGCCACAGGGCCCTTCATGTGTGAGTTCTGGCTGCATGGCCAGGTCAGCAGAGCCCCGCGGTCAGAGGCAGCCTTGACTGATGGTCAAAATGAGGTAAATGACAGATTTTCTCAGACTCCAGATGCGTTTGCTGTTTGGGGAATGAAATCAGAGCCTAAATTCTTTTCTCAGTTCCTTCTCCATCTCCTGCCCAAATGTGTCAGTGTCATCGGCGTGCCCAGCTTTTCATGGCACTGAGGTGAGCTCAGCTGGCCCGCTGTGCCGGGTTGGTCAGTGCTGCCAGGGGTCCAGCCGCCCGGGGGCCCCCAGCCGATGCCCAGCCGCTCGGAGCGGGTGCTCATCGCCAGGGGTGCAGGGAGCACAAACCAGCGCCCGCAGGGGGGGCCCGCCCTGGGCTACAGCCTGTGAGCACCCCCCATGCCTGGCCCGTGGCAGGCCCGGGGACCAGAGCAGGGACGGCTGGCTTGGGCTGGAGCCATCAAAGCCCCGGCCCAGCATACCCACGGCCCTCCGCGCCTCCTGTCGCCCTGTGCAACCCAAGTACCTGTGTCCTTGACCCCATGAGGCCAGCCCCAGCCTCTGGTTGCCAAAACCCAGGTAGCTCACCTGCCTTACCAGGCTGACCAGCCCAGGAATCAGGGCTTGAATTCACTGGGGCCTTTCGCTCAGTACCAAGTTACATTTGACCCGTCAGTCTTGTACCTACCCTAAAATTAATATTTTTGTTCTGACACTGTCTGTCCCTTTTGTAATTTCTCTAGTAGATTATTGGGAAGACACTTTAAAATTTAACTCTTCCTCTGCCTTTTCTGATCCTTTCATCTGTGAAAAAGAAAGTCACTGTGTTAGAGGCGATGAAGGAATGACAGTAAGGGCAGCTTTCTCCTGCCTTTTGTGTCACGCCGTCTCAGTCCCTCGCGGTACTTTCTACCTGTAATTAACTTATTATTTGTCATGAAATGTCTGTGTCTGTCTTCCTCTTAATAAACAGCTCAGTAAGGTCAGAGACCAGGTGTCCCTCAGCCATTTCCACCCGGCACCCAGCCCAGAGCCCGGCCCACAGTGGGTGCCCTGGGGCACCTGGGTGCACTGCCCGAGCGAAAGAGAGCAGGAAAAGCCCTGCTCCGGACTGAAGTTCCTCCCTGTTCCGCTCTACATTTCTGGGGGAAAGAAAGAAATCGGTGTCATTGTACTTGGGTATTTGGACACAAGGTAACTCATGACCCTTGACCAGCCGCTGCATTTGCTCACGTCCTGGGACTTCGGCTTGTTGCGGGGAGACTTCCCAGCCTCCCTGCAGGCAGACATGGCCACACTCTTTCCCAGCCTCCTCGCTGGCGCTCGCCGCAGGAAACCATCTGGGTGACCAGCTGACCGAGGGCCGAAAGACCCTGCGCTGTCCTCTGAACCACTGAGGGTTGTTTTATGAGTGTCCTACCAGGCTGGGGGCCTGCTCGCAGGCACAGCCACATCAGAATCACCCCCAAAATAAAAGTATCCCTGAGAGACCCATAAAGGAAATTCCACGCTGTCTCCTGGGAATTCGGCCTGGGGTCTGACGCTCTCACGAGGGGAATTCTCCATCATGCGGCTCGTGTCCATTTCCTCTCTGTCTCTCCTTAGAGTGGAGAACAACCGGCCACCATCTTTTTAGAGCGGTCACCTCCATGTTTATGCTTCCATCCAGCAAACACTTCTTGGCCATCTCTCTGGGTGCCGGGAGCCACTAACACCAGGAAGTGTTAAGGCGTTATCTGTGTCCTCAGGGAGCTCCCGGCTGGCCTCCAGGAGGCAGGTAGGCATGTGCGGTGTGGTGTGGCTACGCTCGGGCAGCACGTGGCGCGGTGGTCCAGGTTCTGCTTGGGAGGTAGGTGCCGGAGGGGCTGCACAGAAGCAGCACTGGAGACGGACCTTGAAAGATGGAGAGGGGTTGGCCACGCAGGCGAATGGAGCAATACCCCAGGCATAGAACAGCAAGGGCCAGGGCATGCCAGGGAGAGAGGGGGCAGTCCGCACGCCTGGAACAGGAGACGGGGGGCTTCCCGGAGAGCTGCGGGCTGCTCACCCTCCCTGCCCCCGCCTCGGCCTTCAGGCTTCTGTTTTCTCTCCATGACCGGCCATACCCGCTAACATACACCTACTGCCTCGCTAGGTACCAAGTGCTCCTTTACATGCATCGACTCAACTGAATCCTCAAAACACGAATAAACTGCTGTAATTATCCGCATTTTATAGAGGAGGAAACTGAGTAATGTTCTGAAGGAAGTGGTGGAAGTAAAACTACAGCAGACCTATGTCCCAAGAACCCAGGTGCTCTTTTAAACAGGATCTTATTTCTTTACAGATCTACACATAATTTTACGCAACCGCACTGACGTGCTTTACTTCGGTGCCTTCTGCCCTTGACTTGCCCCTTCCATCCCCCCCGCCGGTCTCCCCCATCCTTGTCACCTACGTCCCCCTCGCACACCCTCTGCAGCCCTGACACCCCGGAAAGCATGGTCGCCGGCAGATGCTTGGCTTTGGTTTGGCAGCGGCTGGGGTAAGAGCAGGGTGTGCTCTGATTGAACACTGCCTTCCCTCCGAGGGCTCCTCTGCTCACCCACCCGGGGTGCGGAGCTCCCTGTTCCTGGAGCCCTGCAGATGCTCCTGGTTCTCGGTGCAGCCCCGGGGGCACCAGCTGCAACCTTTGGCTGGTCCATCATCTTTGAGGACACGGCAGGGAGGCAGCCCCTGCACAGGGTCCAGCCATGTTTTGCTGGCTGGAAATATGAAATGTGCACATTTAAAAAACTGTAACAATTTGAAAATGGCCTCTCTCCCTACCCTGACCCAGCTGCCGGCGACAGACCTCCAGGCCCGTATGGGGCTGCCGGGGAAATCCTGTGAGCGTGTATCTTCTCGTGCAAAAGCCAGTGTTTCTAGCCTCATCTGCTAAGGCTTCAAAGTAGAGAATTTTCTTGGCATTGAGCTTAATGAGATTTGAAAAAGTCAGGCCTAGAGGGGAGAGCATGAAAGATTGAAGCAGAGGACAGGTGAGTCCTCGTGGGGTGCAGAAAGCATCTGACTTCCACTGAAGGTCTGCTTACAGGCTGAAACTCTCACCGAGGCCCCTCGCAATGAGGGGACTGAACTCTGGCATGTCAAGATGCCAGTGACAAAGTGGGTCTCACTTTTGGAGCACTTCCATTATGCTAATTCCTTGACATGCATCATCTCATTTAATTCTCGAAGCAACCCTATGAAACAGGTACTGTTGTTACTCTATTCTGCAGATACAGAGGCCAAGTACTGGATTGGGTAACTTCTTCAAAGTCACTGAGCTAATAAGTAACAGAGCAGAGATTGAGCCCCAGCAGGCTGACCAAAGCTTGCACTTAACTCCCACGCTGTCCCACCTTCTGGGGACAATCTGAGAAGCTCCAACCCTCAAATGCCCTTCGCTTTACTCACTCCCAAGGGAATACTGGTTGTTTCTGCCTGTTTGGCATCCAGTACCCCTTCTTCCGGTGACAGTGCCTTGGTGTTTAGGGAGCCCCCACCACCACCTTCAGCTCCCCTGGGTTGGGTTTACTGGCATCAACCCTTGATCCAGTGGTGAACTTGTAGCCCTGGTCTGGCCTGTGAGGTCATCCAATCCACCCAGCCAAAGTGATTGGTCAGCTCTGGAATGGGCACAGGACCTAGTTAAGTCCCCAGTGCCAGGCCTTCGTCCTGGGACAAGGTGTGCAGGTCACAGCAGGGGAATCCACACTATCAGGGGAGCTTGGTGAGCACCGCTCCCCCCCTCAAATGACTTCTCAGCGTGAGCTCTGTCTGACACTTGTCTTAATTTGCAGGCCCTTGTACTTTATATTGAGTATTTGTTTATTGAGATTTTAATGGTGTTCCTCTTAGAAAAGTCACTTCAGATGGCAAGCAGAAGATGGGAAATATTAACTG